GAATAAAATAAGGCCTCTGTGTTCATGAAGCTGACAATATTGTATTTTTTATTTAAAAAATATTTTTTAAAAGATTTTATTTATTTGACAGAGACACAGCGAAAGAGGGAACACAAGCAGGGGGAGTGGGAGAGGGAGAAGCAGGCTTCCTGCGGAGCAAGGAGCCGGATGCGGGGGACCCTGGCATCATAACCTGAGCCGAAAGCAGACACTTAACCATCTGAGCCACCCAGGCGCCCCTATTTTTTAAAAAAAAAATTTAAAAGATTTTTATTTATTTGACAGAGAGAGAGAGCATAAGCAGGGGGAGCAGTAGAGGGAGAGGGAGAAGCAGACTCCCCGCTGAGCAGGGAGCCGGATGCAGGATGCAGGATGCAGGATGCGGGGCTCGGGCTCATCCCAGGACCCTGGGATCATGACCTGAGCAAAAGGCAGACGCTTAACCATCTGAGCCACCCAGGCGCCCTGTATTTTTTATTCCATAAAGAATGCACACATAGAGATTTGCCGATATGAAGCACTGAAAGGGTAGACGCTAAAACTCTAACAGTGTTCGTTTCTGGATACAGGCACTATGAGTTATTTCTTTTCCTCCACATTTCCACATTTGCCTGCAATGTCCAGGACTCAGTTTTGAATTCTTTTTTTTTTTCTTTGAAAAAGAATGATGGACTTTAAGTTACCAGTAGTTTCTACTGCCCAGACCCGAGCAGCCCTCTGCCTCCCGAGGCTACTCGTCGCCGTAGGTGCAGGTGGGGTCCGCGTGCAGTTACGAGGCCGCACCAGGAGAGGGCGCAGCGCCCGCGGGGCTCGGGGCGGGGCCGCGGCGGCGCTTTTCTCCCCAGCAACACCGGCCCGCGCGCCGCTCGAGAAGCGCGGCCTCGCGGCTTCCCCGGCGGGGCCTCCCCCGCTCCGCCCCCCGCCCGCTGCGGCCTCGCCCGCGCCTCGCCCTGTGGGCCGGGGCCGACTGGGGCGCGGCGGGCGGGGTCCGGCCCCTGCAGTCGCGCCCCGCGCCGCGCGGGATGGGGGGTGGGGGTGGGCCAAGCGCACGGCCCCGCCCGGCCGGGCCGCCTCCCCTCCCCCTTCCCCCTCCCGCCCCCGCCCCGCCCTCCCCCGGCCCCCGCCTCTCGGCGGGGTCGGCCGGGCAGCGGCTGACTCGCACTTTGGAGCCGAATAGGGAGACGTGACCGGCGAGACGCGGGCAGCGCCGGGAACAGGCGCGTGGGCGGGAGGGGGAGGCCGGGTTTCTGGGCACCTGGCGGCCGGGCGGGGTGGGGAGGGCAGCGGCCGCCCCCTCTCCCGGCGGCGGGTTCCCAGGGGAGGGGGGGGGAAGGGAAATGGGCTCCTCCCAGGCGCTCCGGCTCCCCTACCCCCGCCCCCCCGGGCTCTGGCTCGGGCGTGTGCGCGCGCACCGAGACGGTGCCGCCTGTTCGCCCCGCCGCGGCCCGGGCCACCCTGCAGCCGGGAGGGCCTGGCCTGGGAGTGCGGCCGGGTTAGGGCTCCCGTCCGCAGTAGGTGGTCGGGCGTGCCTCTGCGACGCGACGGGGGTAGGGAACTTAGGGAGTCCGATCCAGACACAGTTTCCCAGAGATACTGCTGTCCAGCCTCAAGTTTCCTAATCCGTAAAACGTAGCTTCCACACCGGGAATCTCGTGACGCTACAAGAGAGGTGCCGGGAGAATCCCAAAAGAGAATTGTCCATGCCTAAATCCAAGAAAGGGCCGTCTCGTGGCGCCTCGCCCTCTGCTGTATTTCTCGAGACCTTGGGCAGTCTCTAGCTTGCCCTAATTTTGGCCGGAAAAGACCTTCCAGTAAACCCTGGTTACCTTCATAGTTTCCTCGAACATGATGGGGATTTAAAGGAAGAAGAGTGCGCAGCATTTCAAGGACACTTTCCCCTTGGATTTAATGCCCAAACCCTAGGATTAAGTGTGGCTTCTCCAGGGCTCTGGTCGCAAGGCTTAAAATAAAAAAAACCCACGAAATCCTGGGATGTTACAGTCAAAAGGCAGGAGGGATTGCCCCACTACTTTTAACTGCTTGTCTTTCAGATTGCAGCCCCCTCCCTGCCTCTTGAGGTGGCTGCTTCACCAAGTTATTGAATGTCTCTCAGCCTCAGTTTTCTCAGCTGTCAAATGGGAACAACGCTGCTTGGTGGTGACAGGGTCAGGTGCTCAGGACGAATCTCCAACTTTCACAGACTCTCACGAGTCCTTTAAGGCAACATTGTCATTTGTCAGGAAATTCTTCCTATAGTTCTAAATCCTCCCCAGGCTCAAGGCTATATTTCTGCTGCTCAGTCAGTCCCAGGGAAGGTTGGCTGGGTACCCTTTTGTTAATCCACATCATTTCCCTTGCAGCAGGGAGGCCACTGCCCGGTTCGTCAGCCTGACCTTCCTCACACAGGGCCTCAGATATGGCTTCAAGGTCTTCCCCAAAGCCGTGGGTTAGGGAGGTGGGGGTGGACAGACAGGGAGTTGTGAAGCCCATATTTGGAGATTTTCCCTAAATTTGTGAAAGGAGTTACTAGCAAAACAGGAGGAAGAGAATGTTTACTGAAAACTGTCCCCGCGCTGAGGTGACTTATCTGAAAACCCTCACAGGGGCAGGAATCTTCACCTCCATTTTGCCGGTAAGAGAGGACCTGTAGGCCAGGTCCCCAATCTGTGCATAGCTGGGCCCTCCTCCACTTCTGAGGGCCAGCGTTGCAGGAGATGGTGCCACCTCCACTGAGGCCCCCTACCAGGCTTGTGGAGTCGATAGGAAACGCCTGCAGTTCCCGCTGATTCCTGTTCTCCTGCCGGTGGGGCTCAGGGTGGCCATCACCGGCTTGGAAGGCCAGTTGGCTCTTTGGAAACAAACAGAAGCCTCACCCTCCCTTCCTGTTGGAAACTTTGGCCTCTGCTACAGAGTGGATGCCTGGGAAACACATTTCAGCTCCAGCCTCAGGGAGTCCAACTGCTCCTGGAGATCTGCCAAAGCCGTTCTCAGGGTTTTTGGAGTTGGGAAGTCTGAAGGCCAGGAGGCCCCACTCTGAGTGTGGGCCTGACCTGGACGCACTCAGTGGTGACATCTGCACCAGTGCTTCTCATCCCTGGCCGCCCAGTGAAAGAATGCTAAAGCCTGGGTCCACCCCAGACCCATGAAGTCAAATTTCAGGGAGGGGGCCCATGCATCAACATTTTTGTTTTCTAAAGCACCCCCAGGTAATTCTACCGTGCTGGTGGGGTTGAGAAACCCTGAGGGAGATCAGTACAAATACCTAATGATCAAAGGACAGACGAGGAAAGTGTTTGAAATCGGAACAAAAGAGGATTTGCATTAGACACCAACTAATAAAAGCCATCCAAGGCAGGGAGGCTCCAGCAGCTGTGACTGAGCAGGACTACGGAATTCTTGGAAGGAATCCATCTGTCTGGGAACTGGCATGACGCAGTGCCCTGGGGGCACAGGGTGGAACCCTGTGGCTCCAGGTCCCTCTGGGCCACTGTGCCTGCTTCTGAGATCCACATCTATCTGCTAGGCCAAGCTGCTGATGCTCTTGTGAGCCTCTTGTGATGCTCTTCCGGTCCAACTAGATTGCTTGCCGTTCCCAGAACTCACCCCACTCTTTCCCGCCTCTAGGTTTTGGTTCCAGGCATTTGTTTCTGTCTGGAATGTCCTTTCCCCATCTGTTGAAGTCATTCCTCTTCAAGGTCCCTACCTTAATGCCAGCTCCACTAGGAAGCCTTGTTACCCCTGTCCCCCCAGTTCTGCTCAAGGTGTGCCCACAGTTGCTTCCCTGGCCAGCTTGTATCTGCAGGGTGAAGACCAATAGACTCCTTTGTGCCTCTTCCTCCCCCACCTGTCATTGGGGATGGGGAGCACCTTGCATAGAAGTCTTTCTTGAATGCTACAGAATTTGTCCCAGTTCCAGGACAGGGTGGACAGTCACCCAAAGAAATTCTCTCTGCTCATGCGCTTTCCTGAGGCTCTCTGGTCCCTCTGTTCCATTTCCTGAGAGCACAGGGCCTTGTGGTTAGCCAGCAGGGACAGGAAAGCGCCGGGGCCAGGCCTTGACCCAGCACGTGGTGGCTACGGCACCAGGGTAGGTGCCCCTGGAGAGGGGCGGGGTACAAAGAGGGAGACCGGGAATGCAGGCGTCCAGGCCCTGGAAGCTGGTGCGGTCTCTTCCCAGACACACCGAAAGTCTTAAAGGGAGGGGGAAGAGCGCCGCGACCTCGGGCGCCACCGAGGCCAGTGCTGGTGTCTCTCCCGATAGCTGAGTGTGTGGGCGTGTGCGACACGGGGTGGGGGAGCCTCCCGCGGCCCTCACCCCCCCCCATACGCCGGCGGGGGCCCCGTGAGGCACAGCAAGACCGCGGAAGGGGGGCGGGTAGGCCCCAGACGCGGCGCGCCGGCTGCCGGCTGCCGGGGGGCGAGGGCTGGTCCCTTCTCTGTCGCCTGCCACCGGCCCCGCGCTTCAGATGACCCCGGCAACTGCCAGCCGGCTCCAGCGCCCCCTCCGCGGCCGCCTTCTTGGGGTTTTCCGGCTCCGCGCGCCCGGGCCTCTCCCCTCCCCCCAACCCCCCCCAGCCCCCCGCCCCGCCGACCGCGCCGCCCCGCCCCCCAGGGCCACGCGGCGGGCTTTCTGATGAGTCAGCGGGAGCCCGGGAGCCTCCGGCCGCCCCGGGCATCTGCTCCGGTGACGCACTGTGACTCACGGGCGCCCAGGCCGCCGCAGCCGCCGAGCGCGCCGCACAGCCCCCTGCCGCGGCCCGGCGGCCCCCGGGCTCTGCCCCGCGCCCTGCGCCTTCCTCCCCCCAGCGCTCCCGCCCCCTCTCCCCTTGGCCCCGCTCCAGGCTGACATCAGACGCTGGCCGCCCGGCCACCCTCTGAGTCAACAGTTTCCGAAGCGGAGCCTGCTGCCAGGGGCGGAGAAAGCGCTGCCTCCGGGGGGAGGCGGAGGGGGGCCGGCCCCGGTCTGGCAGCCGCGGGAGGGCGGAGGTGGGTGGGGACGGGCGCAGCTTTTTACAAGAAGTCACGGGGGGTAGGGGCGAAAGAGGGTGAAAACCACCCTGCGGTCCTGCCGCGGCGGGGAGGAAACCTGCCGCCCCAGAGCCACGTGCTGAAGCCGGCGCTGGGTGGGTGGCTGGCCCCGCCCCGGAGTGGCTTGGGGAAGGGGGGGGCTTGCTGGGAAAGGCTGCAGGCCAACTTCCCGGGGGAGGAAGAGAACCCCGGGTGGACACCCTCGGCCCTGGGGCACCAGGGAACAAGGGTGTCTGGAGTAGGAGGTCCAGTTCCCTTCGATGGGAGCAGCTCTGGCCTAGCCGGAAGAAATGTACTGGCCTAACCTAACTTCCTCCCCTGACCCTGGTGGGATGGGGTAGAGGCTGGAGACTCCCCCACACTTCACACCCTTCAAAGAGGATGTATGTCCCAGGGTTTCCAGAACCTCAGTAAATAGAGGGTGGGTGGCGGTTTAGTGAAGGGGGTGGTGGTAGGAAGATGGAAGGAAGCTGTATAAAGAGGAGAGGATTTTAAGAACATGTGAAGAACAGCACTGGATTCCTTGCGAAGGTGAGTTTCTTACTGCCTGAGAATTTAGGCCGAAGCCTTCCGAAGACAGAAGATGGGCTAACTTGCAGGCAGTAATGAGACACGTGGTGAAGGAGTCTGGGCTTCTTCCTCGGATAACAAGGCTGGAGGGGCTCAGGGCGGTATGGTCCTCCACTGAGGCTGTGTTCAGGAACAATTTGAGATGCTGCATCCTGTGGTTCTAGGATGCTCAAGGAGGGCAAAAGCACCCTTTAAAAAGCAGTCACCTGCAGTGGCCTAAGAGGCACCGGTAAGCTGCTTTAACCCCGATAGGTTTCCCCTGCCCATGGCCGACAGGAAGGAAGACAGAGGAGCCAGGACAGAAAGGCAGCGGAGCTCCACAGGCGCTTGGGTTTCTTCCATCCCCACTCCATCCCGCCTCACCCCACCGTCCTGGGCCCTGTGTGGTGGTCCTTCCAGGAAGCTGGTGGGCAGCATCAGCAGGAGTTATCCTGGGAGCTAAGGCCAGGTGCCGGAGGGGGGCTGTGGATGCCAGGATGAGCAAGACACAACTGTCCTTGGTGGGCCTCCAGCTGGATTTCATTCTCGGGCTCTTTCCGGGATTTAACTTGCTGTTCTTTCCAAAGCCACAGCTCAACAAGTGATGCCAACCCGGGGGGGGGGGGGTGTCCATGTCTCATCTTGCAGGCAGAAGTAGCACAACAGCTGGGTGAACAAAACCCGCCCGGATCTGTCCAGAGCTGTTTGTCAGCACAGCCTCGACAAGGACCCTGTGAGCTGCTTCTTGCCCCATATGACCCTTGTTCCAACTCACATAGAGCAGGAGCTCCTGGCCCCCTTCTCCTTGGGCAGCCTTTTCCCCAGTGTGCGGGTGGGCGGCTCATTTCTGCCAATCCAGTCCAACTCAAAATAGCACTGAACCAGACTTCTGGGAAAGCTCTGTGCTACAGGCCTCTGTAGAAAAGAGTTAAAAATGACAGCTCTGGGGAAATCAAGGGGTGTAATTTGCTGAGATGGGTCAAGATGCAGAGACCTGTGACATCAGAGGGCAGAAATAGTGGCCAGGGATTGGTATGGAAAGTGTTAGTGGTGGAAGGTCCTGGGCCCTGTGTGGTTGCCCTTTGGGGAAGCTGGTGGGCTGGACCAGTGGAGATTATCGTGGGAGCTAAGGCCAGGTGCAGGAGGGGGGCGGTGACCGGATATTTAAGCCACAAACGCTGCCACACCCAACTTCCACATTTTTTTTTTCCAGGCTGAGAGCTCCCTTGGTAGGGGTTACCTCCTCCAGCATTTCACATTCTGATTTCTCATGGTTCTGGTTTGGACCCAGTTCAGTTGCCATCTTCTCTGGGAAGCTCCTTTCTCCTGCCCCACGTTCTGAGTGCCCCTGGCTCATGCATCCAGGTAACTCTTACTTTGCTTTGTTTGGCCTCAGAGGTTTTGCTGAACTCAACTTCCCCCGCCACCCAGACAGAGGCCCACTGGGAGGCCCAGAGTTTCATCTTTGCCGCTGCCCCTTGATGGAACTCCTGAGGAAATGAATTAGCTGTGAACTTTGCCCTCCTCTGCCCAATGCTTGGCCTCATAGGCTTTCTTTGTGTCTGACTGGTCTTCCTTCTTGCTGTGTCTGCTTCCATGAGAGCCTCATCTCGGGTTTTGACCCAGCCTGCTCTTTGCTTGATGGTTTAGCCCAGCCTCTGGGCCCCTGGTTCATCATCGTCATTGATTCCAGCGGCCATTCAGCAGAAGTCTTTGCTCCTTCTCTTAGCAATTGGAACGAAGGCAGAGGGTCAATGGAATTTAAGTGCAACTCACTAAAGCTAGCCCATTGTGTGTACATCCATACTCAAGAATACAGATGGACTTCATTAAAGCTAACATGTCATGTTACATTCATACAAAATACATTCATAATACATACAAAATACATTCATACAAAAAATATTAGGGGCTGTTTCCCCCTTTGCTCTTTTTTTTTTCCCTTGAGGGGCTAAGTCTCTTCACAAAACTTTTTCAAAGACCATTAAATGTAAGCTTCCTCATATGCCTTAGAGGGCTTACTTTTTTCTTTTTTCAACTTCTGGGGAAAAAATACATTGAAAGTGAGGTATAAAATCAAGAGATGAATTAGCAGAGATTAGACTATTTTCAGGGGTCATGTAACAAAATTCTATATTACTGCAGATACCAGAAAATTTGGCATGAAACTGAGCTAAATTAGGAATATCTGCCTCCAAAAGTTTGGCATAACTCCTCAAAACATCTGGCATCCCCCGGTAGCATTTATCACTCCACTGAGAATTGAACCTCCTCTAAGTCATTCTTGGCCACATTATAGAGCAGAGGACAGTCCAGGACACTGTTAGAAAATCTTGGCCTCTACCTCTGGCTCTGCCATGGCTGAGCTCTGCTACCTTGGGCCACCTGCTGATCTGCCTGAGCCTTGGTTTTACTTACCTGTAAAATAGAGATCATTCCATCCACATCTTAGGGCCCGTGTGAGGACCCGAAGAAGTAAGAGACACTCAGTAAAGGCTTCTTAAGAAAGAGTAGCTTCAAGTGTTTCAGACTTTCTAACTGTAGAGGTAAACACTTCCTGATATAATTTTCTTCCTGTGTATAATTTTCTCCATTTGGGATTCTTTAGATCCAGGTTCTGTCCAGGGTCAAGCAGGTCAACTTGAGAGAGAAATGAGCTCTTTTTCAGAACCCACTGGAGAAAAGACCAACATTTCTAGGAGAAGTAAAGAATGTAATAGCAGTACAATCTACCAACCAATCATGGGTTAAGGGTCTGAGAGAAACCTGATTATGAACCAGTCTGAGGCCTATCAGTGACAAAAATGACCTTTGCCCAGACACTAGGCATGTCTGAGCCACTGAACAAGGTTTTAATCCAGGAGGTGTTGAAAGAGCCTAATAAATACTTATTCCATTGAGTAAAATCCAAGAGTTTGAAGAAAAATGTGAAGTTTGTTTTCTGTGCCCCTCTACCATGTGAGATGTGACTGAGGGAAATTGGTAAACCAGACCCTCTAATAGATGCTCTGATGTATGATGGGCCCCAGAGTCCCATGCTGGGCCCTAGACTATTGTTCCGGTGCACAGAAGCAGGAAATGCTCCCAGGAAGGACAGATTAACTGGCTGCACTGGACACCCTTCAGAAAGGGAACAAGAACTGTCCTTTGCACCTTGGCCATTTCTGCCCCAGCTGACACCAATCCAGGGAATATATATATATATATGTTCATTTCCTAGGAATGCATAACCAAGCACCACAGAAATTTATTTGCTTAGAGTTCTGGAGGCTAGAGATCCGAAATCAAGGTGTCAGCAGGGTCATACTCTCTCTGAGACTCTGGGTAGAAGCCTTCCTTGTCGCTTCCTAGCTTCAGGTGGCATTCCTTGGCATGCAGCTGCATCATTCCAATCTCTGCCTCTGTGAGCACATGATGTTCTCCCTGTGTGTCTGTGTCTTCACATGGCATTGTCCTCTTAATAAGGACATCCATCATATTGGACAAAGGCCCACCCTAACTACCTCCTCTTAACTTGATTACACCTGCAAAGACTGTTTCCAAATAAGGTCACAGGTACGGTGGATTAGGACTCCACAGTATCTTTTTAGGGAAAATAATTCAACCCATAGCATAAGGTAAGAATGATATCTTTGCTGTCAGGCTGCCGCACAGGCCGAGGGGGTGGTCAACCCGGGGGCATTCTTCTCTACGCCTGGGAGGGGGCAAATTGGAACAGCAAGTTGGCAGTCTCTTTATCAGAAGACTTAAAAACATTCATAGCCTTTAATCCAGTGACCCACTTCTAGGAATCCAGCTATTGAAGTCAGCGAAAATGTTGATAAAACTTTATGTGTAGAGATATCCAACTCAATATTGTTTCTAATACTTAATTATCAGGAACAACTTCAACACCTAACACTTAGGGATGGTTATTAAGATAAGTCACATCCACATGAGGGGGATATTATATAGCCTTAGAAATGATATATTCAGAAAAGAAATAGTAATATGGGGGAAGTGAAGTAACATGATGTATTCAGTATGTTGTCAGCTTTATAAAAATTATACAGAGAAGAAAAACACAACATAATGTTAATAGTCCCACCCCTTACGGAGGGATTATGAGTGACTGTTATTGTTTTATTATGGCATTATATATGTTCTCTGCAATAGCTTTTTTTATTTATTTGAGATTTTATTTATTTATTTAAGAGAGAAAGAGAGAGAGTGAGCCCAAGCAGGAGGGAGACGGAGAAGCAGGCTTCCCGCCGAGCAGGGAGCCCAACGTGGGGCTCAATCCCAGGACCCTGAGATTATGACCTGAGCTGAATGGAGATGCTTAACCGACTGAGCCATCCAGGTGCCCCTCTGCAATAGCTTTATAACCAAAGAGAAAAAAAATTATGTTATTTAAAAAATAGATATATAAATAGTTTCCTGGAATATACATTCCAGGAAAGTTCTGGCTGGGAGAAGAGCAGCAGCTGCTGGGTGTCCAGCTGATTTCTACGCTTATAAGCCACAGCCATAACCCCTCTGGAATTCTTCAACATGTAGTTGGGTGGCTACTTGCATCAGAATTACCCATGATGCTTATTTGAAAATGCAGAATTCTAGGCGTGGCTGGGTGGCTCAGTCATTAAGCGTCTGCCTTAGGCTCAGGTCACAATCCCAGGGTCCTGGGATCAAGCCCCGCATCGGGCTCCCTGCTCAGTGGGGAGCCTGCTTCTCCCTCTCCCACTCCCCCTGCTTGTGTTCCTGCTCTCGTCATCTCGCTCTCTGTCAAATAAATAAATAAGTAAATCTTAAAAAAAATAAATGCACAATTCTAGGCCCCACCCAGACCTACTAAATCAGGATGTCTGGGCGCAGGGCCCAGGAATTGGCATTCTCACAGGCTCTGCACGTTTGAGCTGAATTCCGCGCCCCCCCCCCCCCCGCCCGCCTTAGAGGCCGTGGACAACCCGCTCATCAGTAATCCAATGTGGTTTGTCACACCAGTCAGTTACGCCCTCTCGGCCTACTGCGCTTTGAAGAATCAAGGCGAATGAACAGAGGAGTTGTTTGTTTGTTTGTTTGTTTGTTTTTGTTTGTTTATAGAGTCCACTCTTGGTTGTCCCGAAGACGGGAAGCTGTAAAACACAATATTCAAAAGAATAGAAAAATTCACATTATTTGTATTTTATTTTGGAATCCAGTAGCAGCAGATTGTGTTTCTTAAATTATGCTAGGCTAATAATTAAAATGAATTAACATTCCCAGACTGTGCCCTAATTTGGAATTAGGAAGGGTGTAGCTTAAGGAGGACAGCAACCCACAATGAAAGGTTTGCCCCATTAAAAAGCGGTTAATCTGTGTGCAGTTAGTTGAGAATCATAATTACAGACCTGATTGCTTTTAACTCACAACCTTGAGGCTTTCTTTATTGCTGGTTTGCTGGAGCGGTATTGGAGGATGGTAGAAAGTTCTCCACTTTAAGGTGTGTCTTTGCTTGGGGCAGGGGTTGGCCAAGAGGGCCCTTCAGCCCTGCGGTGCCGTAACTTGTCAAGACCAGGGGAGTCATAGCATGCTCGGCGAGGGCCCCACCACTGTGCCACTAGCCTTCTCATCAGGTGAAATTCAACACCTCAAAGAGGCAATAATTCAAGGTATTAGTCCACACTTGTTGCTTCCAGAGTTGGTCATCGCCTCTTAAGAGAAAAGATGAGCCATCTCAGCAATGAACTATCTGCCTACAGCTGGGAGTCATCGGAAAAAAAAAAACCAAGAACAGCAACTCTGAGAAACTCTACATCAAACCTCCTGGAAGGGTTCCTGTTCCCTTTCTGCGCCTTCACTCAGATGGCTTCAGGATGCCCTCCTCACGCTGCCCTCCACTCAGCGCCCCTGTTGGTGGGGTTGGGGGGGGGCAAAAGGAGATAGACTGCAGAGGGGCCGAGCGCCGGGCCCCGAAATAACACCTTCCATCTGCACTTGGTCACGATCACCGGCACCCAGGATCTCCCGGCAGCGGAGCATGGCACCTGGCTGGGTAGGGCTGTCCCTGGAAGGGTCAGCAGGTGGGACCCGGGCTCCAAGGGGTGCAGAGCCGGAGGGCAGGCCTGCTCCTTCTCCCTGTGCGCCCCGCTTTCCTGCAGCACGTGGAAGAGGCAGAGGCAGGCGGCCGAAAGGGTTAGGACCCATCAAGGAGAAAAAAAAAAAATGTAAAAGGAAGCCCTGTATCTTTCACACAACATGTAATTAACTCCCTGCAGAAGATGCCATGGATTCATAATGGGAGCCGACAGCGGGGGAGGAAGGCTCTGACAAGCATGAGATTTCTTGTGGTTTTTTTTTAATTTAATTTTTTAAAGGAACATGAACAGTTGCCCTTGTAATCGTGGACCTGCAGTGATGGTGTCTCCCCAGCAGCAAACCAGATGATGCCGTATCTCACTCCTATCCAGGCAGGATGAACAGGCTTTCTCCTCCACCCCAACGGCTGGCTGTTTCTTGTCCCTGGCTCCCCAGGGTGGGCCTGTCAGCAGCCCCTGTCTGTCAGCCTGCCCCAGCATGAGGGCAGCAATCCTTGGAGTCACCCTGGCCTCTAGCCAGGGGCTCCCAGGGTCGCGCTTCTGGCAAAGCCCAGGCCTCCTCCCGAGTGTTCTGCCCTCAGTAAGGTGGTGGCTGCACTCTGGGAGGAAGGGAGGCCCAGCTGGAGAGGAAAGGTGGGGAGCTCCGAGGTGGGGCCGGGTGGCTGCAGGTGGGCAGGGCCTGGAAGTTGGCCAGAACAAACCGGGGCCAATCCTCTCCCAGGCACAAAGGGCTCTCTGGGAGGGACACGCCCAGCCCCTATGCAATCGGGGAGGCTCACGTTTCTTACCACAGGGAGGCCCATTCCCAGACAGGCCTGGGTGTGGCCTGTAGGCTGAACCCTGCCGGGCCCTGTGGACTTCTGGTGACCCATCTGGGTGACTTTAGTCCTCATTATGATCTGGTCTGCAAATGAAGATGGAGAGAGGCCTGAGCAGGCCCCTTAACGTCACAGAACACGGGGCAGTCGCCTCTTCTCCCTCTGGGAAAGGGCCTTCCTAGGTCGGCCTCCCCGCACCCCACCACTTTTTCTCATACAGATACACTCCTGTGCACTCATACGCTCATACACTAGAGAGGTCTCCAGTCAGACTTAGGCTTGTCAGCTATGCTGTGCAGATCTTTGCCCCCATCCCCAAGCTATTGTCATAGAGGAATTAGCCTAGGTCCAAAGAAATCAGAAGAAATCAGGCTAGGAAATGTGCAACAAGAACCACTGTACTGGCCGCAGGCATAATTATCATTTTTCTTCAGAACTCAGAGTCTCTCCCCGCCACTAAGTACCTTCTCATTATGACCCTGCTATGCATGAAAAAAAGAAAAGAAGGAGGGATGGGAGGGAGGGAGGAAGGAAGGAAGGGCGGGAAGGAAGAAGGAAGGAAACTTTGGGGTAAGCAAAATAGCTTGGAAGACATATTGAAAGGGTCCGTGCCGATGTATGTTTTAGCTGAGCTTGAGGTTTACCTTGGTGGCTGCACCATGCCATGGAAAGGCATGGGTCAGGAAGCCACTTACAGCCTCCATGGGCCTTGTGGGTTTTAAAACTGAAAGTGTTCAAGTAGGATTTCTAAGGTCTCTTCAGTAAAGCCCCAAGGCCATGCGACCACCCACCGGACCCTCCTGCCCACACGGCTTGAGACCCCGTTGTATCAGGGGGCTCTGCAGACATCTGGCAGGCGTGTTCCCTCCCCAACCACAGCTGAGCTGGATGGTAATGGATAAGAGCGCCATCTATGACTGGAGGACCTTTCTCTGTCCTGTATGCCCTGCGCTGTCAACTGTGAAGAAGACATTTATTGAACATAGATTTCTTTGGTACCATCTATGTGCTGGTAAATAAAACAGATGAAATTGACTGTTCCCAGGAGTTTCCACTTGACAACAGAAGCATTGGAACTTCCCCTCTGTGTTCATTTTCTAGGGCTGCTGTACCACAAACTGGGGGGCTTAAACAACAGAAGTGTATTTTCCCACAGTTCTGGAAGCTAGAAATCTGAGATCAAGGTCTTGGCAGGGTGGTTCCTCCTGGAGGTTCACTGGCTGTCTTTGGCCTTCCTTGGCTTACAGATGCAGCACTCCACCTTCACCAGGCATTCTCCCTGTGTGCATGTTTCTGGGTCCAAATTCCCCCCTTTTCATAAGGACATCAGTCATATTGGATTAGAGCACACCCTAATGATCTGATTAACTTGATTATCTCTGAAAAGATTCCGTCTCCAAAAAAGGTCACATTCTGAGGTACTGAGGGTTAGGATTCTAACATACCTTTGGGGGGGGTGGCCATAATTCAGTTTATAACACCCTCTATGGAAAAGCATAGGAAAGCATGGAGGAGAGTCATCTGCCCTTGAGGTGCCTGAAGTCTCCCGCTTCCTCAAGGTCTCATGTGAAGACATCTGATTGGTGGAGCCTGTCTCCACTGCAAGGGAGGCTGGGAGATCAAGTTTCTGCCTTCTACCTGGGGGAGGCATGGCCCTCTACTGTGGGATTTTCCCCAAACACAGGTAGAGCATTCAAAGGACTCATACAAAGGTGGCCACAAAGCACAACAGAAATCTACCACGAAGGTGCTCTCAGGTTTTCTCCAAGGGGACACAGAACCGAGAATGAAGACCGCGGCTTTCCTTTCGTATGCCTTCCCTTCAGTGCCTAGCGTTGTGTGCGCACCACTCACCCTGTTGATGGCTATGGAGGACACCTGGCAAATCTCGATAATGGCCAGTAATATCGAGTGAACATTCACTACGTGCCAGGCATTTTTCTAAGCTCTTTATATGCGTTGCTTCATTTAATCCTTATGACAGCTTTATGAGATAGGGATCATGATTAGCCCCTTTTCGCAGATGAGGAAACTGAGGCACAGAGTGATTAAGTGATCTAACCCGGAAGGTGGGGAAGCTGGGATTTGAACCCAGCAATTTCAGCCGGAGACCGGGAGCTTAACCGCAGTGCTTCCTAACAGGGGGCAGGAGATGAGAGGTCGGAGAAATGCCTCCCCAGCCAGCACTCCGGGAAGGCAGGTATGTGCCGTGAACTTGACAGAACTACCCCTGAGTGGCACGTATATTGTCTCTCACACGCTCTGAGTCAGGCTGGGTGTGACGTTGGTGTGAGGCACACTGACGAAGTCCTCGGGAATCCTGGGAGGGAGGCATGGGAAGAGGCGGGAGCGGGCAGGAGGAGGGAACGTGTGCTGCTGGAGGCCTGCGGGTTCAACCCGGGAGGCTCTGCCTGGTGCGGCTGAGGAAGGCCTGCGTCACAGGCCTGGCTTCTGAGCTTCTGCACTCAGCGGGGCTGGGCAGCTGGAAGCTGGGTTCCCCTGCCAGCATAGGGAGGGACCAAGCTGGTCCCCTGCCAGGGTGCTGCCCAGAGAGGGCCAGCATATTTCCAAGAATTCTTCCCCAGTGACCTAGAGCTGGACCTCGGAGGGGCCCAGTGGCTGCCAGGTCAGGCCCTCCAAGCTGAGGTGCGTTGGAACACCTCACGTGTGGCAAATGTGGCTCAGGTAGCTGCCACGTGCCCAGAGGCTGAGACCAGGGAGCTCTGTGCCTGTCCTGGAGGGGCCCTTGCCACTCCTTACTGCTGTGATCGCAGACACTGGAACATTGCTATTTCGATGACCTTTTTGCAGAAGGAGGCAAAAATAGAAGGGATACATTCTTATATCCCCAAGCATGCCCGACGGGAGACTCCCCTGTGGCCCTGGCCAATTGGATTGGGCCTTGGATCTCACATACTCCAAGTCCAGAGCACAGTTTCAAGAACGTGCATGTACCAGGAGTGTTTGCCATTCACCAGTGAGCACCCCTTCGAGAAAGCTGGGACCCACCTGGTAGCTTCCCTTTCCAAAGGGAAACAGGGTACACGGTGGCTGGGCTTTTCTTAAAAAGAACTGAAGAGGGGCACCTGGTTGGCACAATGGGTTAACATCCGACTTTTGGTCTCAGCTCAGGTCGTGGTCTCAGGGTTGTGAGATTGAGCCCCGCCTTGGGCTCTGCGCTCAGTGTGGAGTCTGCTTGGGTTTCTCTCTCTCTCTCTCCCTCTGCCCACATCCCCCCCCCCACCCTTACTCTCCCTCTCTCAAATAAGTAAATAAATCTTAAAAAAAAAACAGAAGAAAGGTAAAAGAATATTTTCCTTCAAAAGCACTGATATTAAGGTAAGAACAATGTGGTTTCTTATACACTAGTAGGGCATTTCCAAAACACATATGGGTAACAAAAATAAGAAGAAAAGCAAGGGAAAAGAAATTATCCACTGGAGGTTTTTATTACAATAAATGACTACAAAATATGTAGTTAATAAAAAGTTCAGTTTAAGAAATGTTTGCAAACATCAGTAGAGTTCCAGAGTTTTAAAACCAGATTAATATTTGTAATAACATGAAAAACACTCATGCCTTGCATGTACCCTACTGTCCAGTTGTCTCCCCACAGATAAGATGCAGAGAAGAAGGACATTCTTAGAATTTAAAGAATGAGGTGGGGCCAGGGTTACAAGATAAAATACAAGATGGCCTATTAAACTGGAAAGCCAGATAAAACAACAAGTATTTTGTTAGGAGAAGTATGTTCCAAATATCACATGGCACATATCTATACTACAATAATTATTCGTTGTTTCTCTGAAATTCAAATTTAACTATTCACTGTGTATTTTTATTTGCTCCACCTGGCAACCTCGGGTAGGGC